ATATTATTATAATTTAGATTCAAATTACTTAATTTTATATCTAATGTACTCATAATCAAATCTGATTTATTAATTATTTTAATTAAATACAAATTTTAAAATACTTATTAAATTTAAATCAAATTCAAATTAATATTCAACACATTAATAACCCTTACCTTAGCTGAGCCCCTTCCCAATTTAATTTTCCTTTTTTTTTCTGTCATTATTCTGTAAGTTTTCTGCTTCTTAGATTTTAGTGATGATGGTTAAACAGGAAGAAAGCTTAAGCTAAAAAGAAAAGGATAATCATGTAATTTGCAAAATTAGGGGAAAGAATATATAAAAATCACAACTTGAACCGGGTCGATGGTGGAAAAATTACAATGTTGGCAACGCTAACCAAACAGATGAGAAAGAATCAACAGTTGAACGTCAAAAATAATGAAAAAACAAAGGCAAATTCCTGGATCTGCAGAGCACCACCAAACCATCGCAAAGTCTCGGAGTTAAAGCCAAAAACCAGAGAAGAATAAAGGGTCTTGAGAAACTCAAGCACGACCTCCCTGTTGGTTCCTCCTCTTCTCTTCTCGGGCAACAGTTGTGGCCGAGACGTAGTAGGCGACTATGAAGAGACTGTGGATGAAGCACACTATCCCTCCTATGGAGAAGAAAACGATGGTGAGCTATGCCACAGGACTTCCTTGACTTGGAGTTTGCCAGCGTTCCAATGATCAGCAGGGAGAAGGCAATTACCAACATAATCCTGGTGGAATCAAAGAGTTTGCCAGCGTTCCAATGACCAGCAGGGAGAAGTCTTACGTTATATTCCAAAAGGTAATGTACATGCATGTGTGAAGAAAATGAGTATGTACGAAAGAATCTGAACGTCAAAGTGTTACCATGAGAGGGAGAGAGAGGCCACAGCCAGCTGCTTGTTGGGAGAGGCTCTCTCCAGCTCCTCCCTTGACCAGAAGCAGATGCAGCCGCCAAGCAGGTTGGCAATGGTGTGGGCAAGAGACAAGAGCACCACTGCAGCCATCCCCAGCTTGAAGGCCTCATAGCTTGGGTCTCTGCACTCAAATATCCACGCCCTCAGGTTCTTCACCTGCCCATCAAAAAACACAGTAATTCTCCCTCACAATCTCTCTCTTTTTAGTTGTGGACAAAATTAGAGATCATTTTTTTCTGTTTTCGAAAATAGAAAACTGCAATCCTTTTCATCTCATTTTACATTCAGGCAAAATTAGTTTAGGAGAATTTCGAAAATGAACTTCTGTTATCCTTTAAAATGCGCGCGTTTTCTAAGATCTCTCCCCAGAATAGTTTCCGAAAACAACCTGCCAAACTGATTTTATGTTCAAGCCCAAGCAAGCATTTAATGTATAGCGAAAAAGAAAGATGTAACTAGAGAGAATCCTTATTCTACCAGAAGTCTTCACCATACCTTGTTCTGAGCAACCTCGGCCTCGATTCCGAGAATGCCGGCGGTAATGTCCATGGCCATGACCAGAAGGCAGACGAGAGGGCCAATGTACCTTGCCATTTATGCAGATTAGGAGCTCTGAATGAAGAGGTCATTGTGAAGGAGGAGGGGGAGAAGAGAGGTGTTATATAGGGAGTTTCCTTCTCTTGGTTATGCGTAGCTTTCTCTGGGACTAACATGGAGAGGAGAATCTGAATAAAATGATGATCGTGCAAGCAGATTTAATTCTAGAATCTGCATGTGAGAAGGATTAGCTGTGGTAGTGAGGAAAAGGCCTCCTTTGTCTTGAAAGTTCTCTTTATTCTGTTCTTTCCTTTTTCTATCTTGCTTTGCTTTGCAGGGTTGGGTGGATTCTTTCCACAAGGAACAAGGAAAGGAGGGCATCACCGGCAAGGGACACGCCATTTGTGAGCAGCTACCACGCAAGAAAGGAATAAAATATCTCTTAAAATGATATAATGAAACTCAAATTAATGATAAAAGATAATTAGAAAAATCTGTTAAAATGATATACTAAAATTCAAATTAATGATAAAAGAAAATATCCATAATGACCCAAAAAATTACCAAAATTACGGGAATGTGATTCTATACACAACTATTTAATGCTAAATTCTAACCAATATGTTTTAAAAGTTGGACTTGTAATCAAATTGATAACGTCACTTATTCACAATCTAACCAATTCGATCAAGTTAACAAGTGGTCAAACTAATTAATAATAATAATAAAATATTTTAAAGAATGAATAAAATATATAAGAAAAAAAGTGATAAAAATTAGGATATTAATAAAAAATAATGTTAATTAAAATATTTTTACACTTGTCACTTACTCAACAAACATTAAGTAATTTTCATCACCATATATTAGGTTTATAATTATTAAAAAAATTTAAGTAAATGGGTTAACCATTAAATCAATTTAAATAATCTCAATGAACTGTTTTTAAAAACCAGTGAAAATTGACTAATTTTATATATTTTCAACGGGTTTTGGCCAAGTTTAACTGATCTAATTATATTTTTGGTTAAAAGGTCTCATCTTAACCATTTACTAGGTTAGTTCACCATTAAACTGGTCAATACCATTTGTGTTATAAAATATCGATTTTAACTCAGTGGATTAATAGTTATAATATCTGTTAAATCAGTATCGAATACTGAAACTGGTAAGATTATTCTAATTCAATGTATTCTAAAACCACTCGTCCTATGGATTAAATCCCAACATCAAATAGTTGTCCAGCACATTTACTAAGAAGTGCTGTACACTGGCGGCCGGGAGATTTTTCTTCAACATTTTCAACATTCTACAGTATGAGGAGCCAGCTTCTTATACCGGTTTCATCCGCTGTTTGGTAAAAAATTTCTAAAGGCCGTCGAAACCCAAAAATAAACATCCCAAGAAGGGGGCTTCAAATAGCTTGTATTTTATTAAAAAGAAAATTCCCATAATATCCCCAAATTAAACACCTACTTATCAATTTCTCTTCTTTCTCAACGTAAACACGCAACTTTTTTCATTAGACATTACTGAGCAGGACAGTGCAGTGGCACCTGCTTCATGTGGAGTCATATTAAAGGTAAGTAGTAGTGAATTTCTGCTTTTTAATTACCTACACAAAAGAATACGGAATCCAAAAAAGTCTCATTTTCTAACACTAATTAAACTATAAAAATAAGGTTATAGTCTAACAGAACTCATGGATAGAAAAAAAACATGTAATGAATCAGACCTTCATTTGGATTGCAGTTATTCGGACATGTGCTTTGGTGGCTAATTTTGTCACTGATTACATTAAACAAAATAAAAAAGAGATATTAAATTATAAGAGAAAAGTGCCGTCTATCTTAATAAGCAAATCTTTTGAAAAAAATGATAATACCTCCGTAACAAGTAATATGAAAACTAACTTCAATGAACTATAATCTAATGGTGTTAAAACTCATGCAAGTGCCTTCCACGCTTGCATGAAGATAGGTAGTGTGATGGGATCGCAAGAACTCCACTTTAACGAGGGTATCAAATGTTCAAGTGAGAGAAAATATCACATATTTTACATCAGACAAAGCAAATGAGGGATATTGAGTTATAAAAAAGGAGAGTTATATATTTTTAACGGGTTTATATTTTGAGGAGAGTGTTTGATGTGAGATTAAAGAAAACTAATTTTGTATTTATATATATAGTAAACTTGTGATTATATCATATTAAAGAATTTCAATTTTTTAAATTATTAAAATATTTAATTTATATTAAAAATAAAACAAATTGTTTCAAATTTATATTGGACTCTCGTCTCTCTCCTCCATAACTGTCTTTTTGGTGTTCTGTCAAGGCGTGTGATCTTATTGGGCTCATAATTTTGTTGCCACACAGGCCCAGCCCATTCGTTTCTGCCGATGTTCAGGAAATGCAATCAAAGCCACAATCCCGACACCCAACAGACTTCGAATGATGGGCCACGAGACAGCTTACTCTGAAAACTACAAATGACGTCCAATAAGTCACTTTTGGTATTATGTTAACTAAAATTGGGCCGTCCTGTGGACGGAATTTTAGGTTGTGCGCGGTAGGCTTATTAATAAATTAAATTTAGGAGGGATTGTAGCGTATTTGATTCTAAATCCAGTAGTAGTAATATAGTATATCTAGATTTAATTAAAAATTTTATATAATATATATTTAGTTTAATTATATTTAAATTTAAATAAAATTTAATATTTAAATTAATAATTCGAATCTAAATTGGTAAATTATTATCTTTTTATTATTTTTTATTTTAGAAAAAAATAATTAAAAATAAAAATAAAAAATTCTTAAAAAATAAACTAATAAATAATTTTAGAGTTAAAAAGTATAATATAATTATATTTAATTTATTACAATATATTGCATTTGAGATTGGTTTACTGGTAATATATAACAATTACATTTAATTTATCAATATACATATTTTCTATTTCTACCTTTACAAATAAATATGTTCCTAAATTCTATTTTTAAGAAAAAATAATTTATTAATTAAAATTTGATAAATCAAGGCCATATTGTAATATATAATAATCATATATATATATATAAATATATATTCAAATTCAGATATTTAATAGATTGAATTGGAAAAAATCTATATTTACTTAATTTATTTCGAATTATGGAATTTTATAATTAGATTATATCCATCAAATCTTTTATCAATTAAAGATCCTAAATAATTAAATTAGATTTGAATCGAATTCAGATTAAAATTCATTTAATTGACAATTCTATGTACTGATTTTTCTATGCAAAAATGAAAAGAAAGAAAATATAATAGTGAATTGACCCCTATTTGCTATCAAAATTGCGGTAGAAAGGAAGAGTTTTCGACAAATTAAGGTGATGTACAGTACAATGAAATTTTATTAAAGAATGGAAATGAGAATGAGAATCTTAAAAAAATGTGTTTAGTAAATATTTTACAATAAGAATCTTCATTCTATAGGAATAAGAATTTCATTAAATAAAAGAATTTGTATTCCTTAACTTAAGTGATGAATTCCTCATTATATATTAATATATTATATTATAATATAATAAATTGTATAATATAATATATTATATTATATATTTTATAATTTATTATATTTATATAATATATATAACTTATTATATATATACATACAAACACACATATATATGAATTCAATATTTTAATGTTAGAAAAAAATTAAATTTTAAATTTTTTTAATATATTCATAATATATTAAAAGTTAATTTTTAATTTTTAAATATTTATAAAAAAAAGTATTTTTATTTTTAAATATTTTTTTTATTTACTTTTCTACCCCTATTCCAATATACTAAATATAATGATAGAATAGAAATATTCATTTCATTAATGTGTACTAAACATACTTATAAAAATTTTAATTTTATAACATTCTTATTTTCATATTTATTTTTATTCCATCAAAAATCATTCTAGTATATCACACTTCAGCTGTATTTTTGTGGGCCCGTGTTTTTTTCATTTGTCCACCAAATGACAAATTGAGAAGATAAGGAAGTAGGCTCTGGCTTGCCTGCCTCTTAAATTTCTTATATGCTTTGATTACACCCACGACAAAATTATGAAGTCAATGGCGATTGACATATTAAGAATGGTATGGATCAACACCCCTTGATTCTGCTTTTCTATATAAGTTATGCGCATCGGCGTTTCTGATTCTCTCTCTCGATTGTGTCACAAGTTGACTCGTGAAGGACCATCAACCCATCAAATGGAGAGCTATGTGGATTGTTGAGACCTCCATTTCCTAGCTCTCTCTCTCTCTCGATTACTCTCCCCCATTCTCCAGTGGAAAAAACAGAAAACAACTACAATATATGTCCGACGTGATGGAGATGGAATAGGAGCTACTTCTTTGCGAGTTGGTCCCTCAAGGTTGCTTTTTCCTTTCAATATAATCCCTATTGTTCTTAGATTTTCACACTAGTCTTCTGTTTTTGAATTTGTTCACTTGAGCCCTTGCTAGACATTCTAGAATTTTAATTACATATAATTGAGTTCTCACAATTTTTTATACATGCATTTTCATTATGTTCCTTGAATGAAAGTAGACTAATGAAAAAAGTATTCCTTCTTTTCTATGGGATGATACTAAATAAAGGAAGGAAAGCATCATTCTTTCCTCTCTTTTTATTTACTTTTCTTTCTTATAGTATCATTTATTTTTCCCCCTTACAAGATACTATATATATATATATATATTTGGTCTTATGGAAGAAAAAGAAAAGCAAGACATATAATAGGAAAGAAAATTTTAAAAAAAGAATGGAAAAGAAATGCACTTTTTATTCCTTTATTTGGTATTATCCAATGAAAAATAAGATAGGCTTTTTTTTTTTTATTTTACTTGGTTTCATTTAAGGAAAAGAATTAAAAATTCTGTATTATGCTCATTTTCTTCTAATAAATGTAAATAGCGTAGGTCTTACTCAAGATGTTATGATTAGATTTGGCACGCTAAACTTATTAAACAAAAATTTGTTTCGGAATTATAAGGGTTACCCAATGTCTGGAAGTATTTACGGTAGAGATGAATTTTTCAAGCTTAAAACTTTTGTGAAATAGAAATGGTCCGCAGCTAAAGCTTAAATTATTATTGATTTATGAAAACAATGGAGAACATATTTTTATTTTATTTTTTAAAATCAGACCCTTTTAGATGCCATAAAATTTTGTGCAGGAAAATGGGAGATATAATAAAAAATAAAACAATCCAAGGAAAGGAAAGATTGGCGCGTGGAGACGTGGAGTCATGGGGGACCTGGTTCTTCCTGATCATTCCAGAAGGAGATCTTTCCGGAGTTGCCATACCCACATGCGTCTTCATCCGCGTATACGAAGTATGCTGTTCGAAGTAGAGGGAGGAGGAGGAGAACTCTTTCTGTCTTTTTTCTCTTTCTTTCTGTATTTAGTAATCTTTTAGGTGTGAAAGAGCAGAAAATGGCAGCATTCAGATGGAAGAGCTTCTACGAGGATGAGGATCGTCCGGAGAAGCCTCGGAGGTACGGCGTCACCGAGTTGAGAGGCCCTCACTATACTGTCCTCAACCAAAATCTCCTTCAGGTCTCGATTTTTCTCTCTGATTCTTCATTTATTCTTCACTTCCTTGAATCCTGTTCTTAAACTCGAAATTTTAGGGCTTTTGCTGGGGTGGGTACTGATGCCGAGTTGTCGAATTGCATTTGCGGTGTTCCTGTTGATCGATGGATTAAAATATAATCACGCGTTTAGAATTTGGTGACGATACTCTAGTTTAGCAAAATTTTATTATTTTTTAATTTAATTTTTGTCTTAAATACATGGTGATTGGAATTATGTTCTATTCGTTCTTAGTTGAGCTGTTCCACTGCCATCTTTGTATCGGCCTTGCCTTTTGATTGTGTTTCCACTTAGATTATGTTGCTTTCTGCAGATTATAGTCTTCGCTGCTTATTGTGCTTGATCAAATTACGATAGAAGTCCGTCATGTCCTCAATTGGCGTTAGCTTCATGCTTATTCTATTTGCTTTTGCATCTTAAGACTGTAGCTTCTCCACATCCTCTGTTATTGGTTTACTGAATCCTGGGCATTTTCTGCATAAACATGCTTGCTAGAAGACAGTAAATGAAGCATTATTTGTTTTATGTTGGATATTGCCGTGTTTAAAGCTTTAGAAGAAGTTTAATTTTCATGAAGGAGAATATTTGTTACTCCCCTGTTAGTGCTGATGCATTTGGAATTGGGGTGTCTGAAAGTTAATGTCATATGTTAGAAACGAACTAGAATTAGTTATTATGCCACAATGGCAGCACGTTGTAAATTAATTTTATTCATAGTATTCCTTCAGTAGTTATATGTCACTGTAAGTGCCAAAATACTCTTAACATAATTCTTTTACCATTACATAGACAAGATGAGTGCGCCATTGTATCCATGGTTATATTAATACCTCTCTCTCTTTACCTTTCTAGCAACAGATGCCAACATGTTATCCTTTATCCTTCACTGAATTGCTGTAATTGCTGTTTGTTTGTCCAGCTCCTTACTTGCAAGAGATTCATTTGAAGAAGAATCTCATTTCAATTCTAAAATTTGATTCCCAGCTAAAAAAATTCACCCCATTCTTTGATTCATGTCATGGAGGCTCTTGGTTGGGAAGTCTTCTCTAGTTTAATTAGATAGTTCTCTGTAAGAATTTGTCTCCTTTGTAAATTTTTTTTAAGAGAAACCCTACTGCGTTTGTACTTATTCGGTTAGCCTTTAGGAAATAAATATTGCCAATCCAAATAGATGTTCGAGATTAACAAAATTTCACATACATGTACGGATTATGTTACTTTTCTTTTCACTATATTAGCTACACGCTCAATCGTCTCTACCTTTGTGTGAGGTGACTGGTATGCTACACTAAATCTTGGTACTGATTTAATTTCATGGAGCTTGTTATTACTTAAAAAATGGACCTGCATCACCTTGATTTTTGCTGCAAGAATTATGTCAAATGGATGGTTAAGGAAGGTAATATGGTTGATTTGTGTCCTAAATTCCTAATCACATCTTGTTATGCTGTGCAGGATATTTTTGAGTCTATGGGACATATTGTGGATGGGTTAAAATTTGCTGGGGGCTCGCATAGTTTGCTGCCAAAGGCTTACATAAAAGATGTCATAGATGTGGCCCATAAACATGACGTATATGTCAGTACCGGAGACTGGGCTGAACATTTGCTTCGCAAAGGTCCATCTGCTTTCAAAGAATACATAGAGGTATGGAATAAATTATTGACTTGTCCCCTCTATCAGTGTATTGAAGCACTTTTTATTTTGCTTTATCAGATAGAAAACAAAATGATATATTTATTTATGTATTTGCCTTTCTAGGAGTGTAAGCAATTGGGATTCGACACAATTGAGTTAAATGTGGGATCACTTGGTGTACCTGAAGAAACACTCTTGAGATTTATCCGGTTGATTAAGAGTGGTGGTTTAAAAGCCAAGCCTCAGTTTGCTATAAAGTTTAACAAATCTGACATTCCTATGGCTGGCAATAGGGCATTTGGAGCATATGTGGTCCCAGCACCAAGGACATCTGGTGTGCAACCTATTCCTTTTATTATCTTAAATGAGGTGCCGAGGTTTGTCTATTTCAATTTGACTCCACTTGGTTGAAATTTTCAGAAGATATTTGCTTAATTATATAACAGTTCATGTCTATTTGGAAAGAACCAGGGAACTGAACATGTTGAGTAATAGCTTGTTTAATTGCTATATTTTCAATATAGGATATCCATTTGCTGAGCTTGGTGTGGAACAGCACTTTTAGCAATTTCCAGTGCATCAATTAGGCAAATGGAAGCACTGGACGTCCATTTGCTAAGTTCTTCTAGAATAGCAGGTTCTAGTGAATCAATTAGGAACTCCAAGCTTTAGAGATGTTAGTTGTGCTGAGATGGTGACCTGAGTGATGGACAAGTAGTAAAGGATGCTGCATTGCAAAGAGTCTAAAAGATTGAAACTAGTGTCAACTACATCATAAACTTAAGCCTCCAATGTACAATTTATTACTGCTGTTTGGTGTCAGAATAACATAGTGTATTAGATTATAAATATGCTATGATGTCGGACAGATTGTAGATACAGGTGCATGTAGGCCATGTCACAGCTGACAATTCCTTATCTAACAAACTTGTAACAAATTGTCCCACATCATTGTTTTATTCTTTATCCAGCTGTATGTAAATATTATTGTGTATTCATTGTAGGATATGTATATGGATGTATATTCAGTCCTGTAGGTTTATTAGTTATGTACTGAATCAATATACATTAAAATATTCTGCAATTCTTCTTCCCTCTGTTGCTCTGCTCGGTATTTCTGGTTTCTGCTAATTCAGTCAGTGAGAGGTGAAAAATCAGAATTGACATATATGGTTTTTCCTCTGACCAAGCCATTTCCTGAGTGGGTATGTTAGGTGAATGAACTGGCATGACAATCTGAATTGTAATAACTAAAGCATCCTTTTAACAATACATGATAATTATTCAGCATATGAAGGCTTATGCTGAATAACAAACACCAGTATGTCTAATTTCTTAGGAAATATGGACGTAAACCTTCATAATTAGTTAATTAACTATGCTTTTTTTCCTACAGAAACTGTTGAGGATGTTGATCTTTTGATCAGGAGAGCAGAAAGATGCTTAGAAGCAGGGGCAGACATGATAATGATTGATGCAGAGGATGTCTGCAGATACGCTGATTCTGTGCGGGCAGATATCATTGCCAAGGTTATTGGGCGTCTTGGACTTGAGAGGACTATGTTTGAGGCAGGAAATGCCAAAACTTCTGAGTGGTTCATTAACCAATATGGTCCGAAGGTATTTTGTCCTTCCTTTTTCACCTCTCATTTGTTTACGTAGCTCATCTTTTCCTTTGAAAAGCTCGTAACATCTTTAGCTTCTCTCTGGATTTTCAGGTCAACCTTTTTGTGGACCACTCTCAAGTGATGGATCTGGAATGCCTTCGTGGGCGCAACCTTGGTAAAGATCATAGATCTGTTCTTGGTTCCACCTCTATTTTGTTCTAAACCAATGCCTAGTTCACATTGGAAGCTTTAAGCTTTTTAATTGTTCTTTGTTGCTTGTTCAGATCTTGTGTAATATCTTTCCGCAGTTCTTTGTTACTTGTTCAGATCTTGTGTGACATTGACCTCTAATATTGAAGATATAAAATGATCTCGCCGGCTTGTGCTCTAAACTGTTTGGCTTTCACCAGAATCCTGGTTATTCCTTAGGTGCTGTATTGTGTTCATAAGCCGCTGGTCTTTAAACATCAAATATTTGTGACTTAAGCTTTTGTCTAGATTATTGTTACGATGATTTTGTGGAGTATTTGTGATAGAAGTTTTCTTCTACGTTACTGTCCAATAACGTTATGCATTTGATCGATCCAAGAGCTCGTTGTCATGCTGATAGTCGCTGCTGTTCATATGCATGCAGTTCATGAGGCCAACTACCACCCCACTAAGGCAAAATGCCACCAAACAACCCTACCTCGTGCATGCAGAGAGGTCTCACCTAACAAATTCCTACTCTTCCAAACCTCTTTATAAGAAATAAATGTTGCTTGTTCATCTTTTGAAGTTTTAAAAACCTGTAATTTGGGGATTTTTTTCAAATCTTTAAATTGCAACTTTTGGGATTTAATTTTGAATATTTTCTTCTTCTTCTTTCTTTTTTTTTTTTTTTTAATATCAAATTATAAGTGTTAACGTATCAGAATATGACAATGAAATTATTTCACATAATTAAATTAGTTTAATATTATATTTTACAAATTTATTATCCATCATGTCATATGTAATACTGGAACCATTTGTTATTATTATAAATTTTACATATTTTTTTGAGTGATATATAAATTTGACATAATTTCCTAGCTAAGTTGGGGGTTGGATGTAATGTAACATTTTCTATTTTCGGTGGACTTTTTTTGGGTCTTGATCATGTTTGACTAGTCGATGAAATAAGTGTAATTTTTATTCTTTAATTTATTTTCTTTTCTACTGTACTCAAGAAAAATTAGACATCCCTTTACTTGTAGAAGGTGACAAAACGACGTTACATCACTCCCTTGTTTGCCAAAAAGATGAAGGGGGACGATTTGACAACCCCGATTATTAGGGCCGTCTGATTGGGGGAAAAAGTTGACACTTATTTATTTTTCATTTTAATCACAAATAAAAAGATATTAAAATTTCAATTTTAGTTTCAATATTTATTTTCCAATAAAAAAAGTTCGCAAATTTATATCAATAATAATATTTTTTTAATCAAAAATAAGGTTTTGAGAAATTATGTACCAAAATAGTTGAATTTTAGATAGGTTGAGAAATTGAGTCATTGGGACTTAATCTCGTGAGTAGTTGATTTCTCAATAGGACTTGTAGCGTGAGTGGCGTTTTAGGGGGAGAAAGGGGCTGACGAAAGTTATAGCAATAGGAAGGGAGAGGAGGAAGGGGTTGTGAAGCGGGGATGCTGGGATGAGGACAGGGGCGACGAAGCGGGATGTTGGGAGGAAGAAGGACGCAGCGAAGGTCATAGGGGGAGGAGGAAGGGGGTGGTGGGTCGAGGGAGGAGGGAGCTCTACCTCCATTTGTGGCCAACAGTAAAGCTTTGCGAGAACTTCGTGGGGACTCTGTGTGGGGTCTAGATCTAGGCCCCATGTGTTGAAAACAAAGCCAAAAGGCTTTATGGCTGCAATAGGAAAACTTTGACAATTGTGCTTTCAAATGGCTGTAATGGGCTTCTGTTGACAATTGAATGTAAAAAGAAGAAGCAAAGTGCTGCACGTGATGGCCATAGTTGACAAAAGACAACCAAGAGCTCCTATAAATAGAGGAGCTTCAAACCTGCATAAATACACCAAGCCAAGATGTGAGCTAGAGAGAGAGAGTCTCTCAAAGCTTGAGAGAGAGAGAGAAAAAAACTCTCTTGTGTAGAGGGTGAGTTATTATAGTGAGGGTAATACAAAAGTGAAAATTCTTTTGTGAGTGATATCTCGAGTTGGTAAAAATACTCGAGAGTCCTATGTAAAACTCCTTCTTATAATGGTGATATTTTTCCCTTTTTGGTCTGTGATTTTTCCCAATTTGGGTTTTTCACGTAAATCTTGGTATTTATATTTTACCCTATCCTAAATTTACTGTGTGTGTATTTTTTTATCTGTGCGTGTGCTGGCCCTAACTAGGAGCATTAAAGCACCGTGGGCCCCAACAAGTAGTATCAGAGCACCGTGGATCCTAACAAGTGGTATCAGAGCTAAGGTTAGTACTGTTCAAACGTACGTGATACTATTCATACATACAAAAGTATTGTTTATACGTACGAGGTATTGTTCATACATATAGTGGTATTATTCATACATACGATGTACTGTTCATACATACGGTGGTACTGTTCACATATACGATACTGTACACGGGGCACTATTTACAATAAATTTTGTGAAAATATTGGGAGTAAAATATGTTGTGAAAAAATTCAAAGTGAAGATGGATTTTCCACATGGTTAAGAAGGAAAGGACAGCATTGGCGATACGGCTGGTTCCTTCTTGTGTATGGGAGACCTTAAAGTCTTGATTGTCTCGACGGCAGTCCATGACTAACTGCCCAGACAAGGGGCAGGATAGGGAAGATCCTTTAGACTTAGCCAGCAAAACTTTGGTCAAAATATTGCGGCTAGTGCAGATATGGCAGGAAGATTACTCTGGTCTACTGGATGGGGTTGCTTGGCTGAGTCAGGTGCATGAGGACAAGTTAGAAGTGCTGACCGAGGAGCTGACCCGTGGCCATGAGGAAGGCCATGTCATGGAGATCCCTGTGCTAGATGGTTTTGAGGGCATGCTGCAGACCTTGCCCAAAGAAGCTGTAACCAAGATGGATTTTGATAGCAAAGAGAGTTCGGTAGATCAAAGTCGGGAAGGGCAACCCGACTTGGACACATGAAGCGTGGACATGCAGAGACAGGAAGGATAAGGGAAATCTAACTTCCCTTGGGACTTCCGTGAGTGGGGAAGTTTGAGAAGAGGTGGCTGAGTAGATGACCCATGAGTTAGGTGGCCACTAGGATAAAAGGACCAAGGGTTCTGGTCCTGTTTCAAAAGCAAGTAGACTGTTGATTGACTCAGGACAGTTGCTTGGTAAATGAGGGCTTGACCGGGCTGGGGGAGACCAGCAAAGGGCACAGAAGTCCTTGAAGCTTGCGAAGCTGAAAGAGGGGGAGCAGACCCTCTGACCCTGTGCATTGAATTGGCGGGGAGTAGGTCAAGTGTTTTGCCAAACCAGAGGAGTCAACTAGGTGGCGGATCAAAGAAAGACTTCGTGGGAGACGAAGTTGAGAGGCCGGATGGCCGAGGCCCTAACTCTTGTACTGGGATGAGGAGCTGCGGCAGATGCCAGTTAGCAATAGGCAAGAGGGCTCTGAATGCAAATAGAGCTGTTCGGCAGAAGACTTGGTTTTCAAGGAGATGGACCAAGAAAAAGTGATTTTCTTGCTACTTAGGCCAAGGAATTGACCTTGACTTCAGAAGGAAGCCAGCAAAAGGAAGCAAGGATGCTATCAATTGGGGGAGCCTAGGAGTCAGGCAAACCCAAGGACCGAGTATAGGTTTTTGCTCGGTGAGTTGCCAGTCAGGAGCAAGGCTGGAGACTGAATTACGGATAAGGGTGGGAGACCCTTGGAAGCTCGTGAGGAGAATCAGGCCAAAGGCAATGTGCTAATGGCTGAGAAGGAGTCTGGAGTGGCAAATAATCTCCAGACTGGTATGCCAACATTGGCCAAGGTGTATTGGCCAAGGGAGATATTAGGCATATGGTGATTAGGACCAGGGATGTTGGTTCTAGGATGGGCACGACCCATGAGGTTGAGGAGCAGAATGAGCAATTGCAGGGGGACACTTAACAAATGAGAGCAATTTCCTCCAGATAGCATAGGCCTGGAGGGGGAGATTTATGGGGTCTAGATCCAGGCCCCATGTGTTGAAAACAAAGCCAAAAGGCTTTGTGGCTGCAGCAGGAAAACTTTGACAATTGTGCTTGCAAATGGCTGCAGCGGGCTTCTGCTGACAATTGAATGTAAAAGGAAGAAGCAAAGTGTTGCACGTGATGACCATAGTTGACAAAAGGCAACCAGGAGCTCCTATAAATAGAGGAGCTTCAGACCTGCATAAATATACCAAGCCAAGATGTGAGCTAAACAGAGAGAGTCTCTCAAAGCTTGAGAGAGAAAAAAAAAACTCTCTTGTGTAGAAGGTGATATTATTGTAGTGAGGGTGATACAAAAGTGAGAATTCTTTTGTGAGTGATATCTCGAGTTGGTAAAAATACTCGAGAGTCTTGTGTAAAATTTCTTCCTATAGTGGTGATATTTTTCCCTTCTTGGTCCGTGATTTTTCCCGATTTGGGTTTTTCACGTAAATCTTGGTGTCTATATTTTATCCAATCCTAAATTTACTGTGTATGTATTTTTTATCTGTGGGTGTGCTGGCCATAACTAGTAGCATCAAAGCACCGCAGGTCCCAACAAGTGATATCAGAGTATCGTGGATCCCAACACTCTGTAGGAGACAGAGACATGCAACAGACCTCTGTTGCCCTTAGAGTTCCACGTGCAAAAGGAGGCAGAGCTCCCTCCTCCCTTGGCTCGCCACCCCTTTCCGCCTCCCTCTTCCTCCTCCATTTCCTTCTCCCTTTGCGATCTTCACTGCCCCCTTCCTCCTCCCAGCAACAACACCCTCCCATTGCCTTCTTCCTCTCCCTTCCTACCCCTTGTGGCCTTTGCTGGCCCCTTCCTCCCCCCAACAACATTGCTCAAGTTGCAAGTTCTCTTGAAAAATCGACTCCTTAAGAGATAATTTCTTAATAGATATCAAGTCCCAATGACCTGATTTTTCTATTGAAATCGAATCCTCCAGACCTAATTTCTCAATCTATTCAAAATTTGCGTCTTTTGGTACAAAATTACTCGAAAAACCTATTTTTAATTAAAAAATTTATTATTATTAATATAAATATGCCAATTTAAAATCTGGATTAGATTAGTTAGTTAGGTAGATTATGACTCAGTCACACAATGGCTCGGATAAAAATCTCTAACTAGAATTAGAGTTTGACCGCTGAATATCAATCAAGAATTCATAAAACTGGTTAATTTTAATCGATTTGTTAAAATTAGTTTAAAAATCTTAGGACCAAAAGAAAAGGATTTTGCTTGTTTTTATCTGCATAATTATGAACTTGAATTTAAAATTTATATTTGAATTTGTATAATTTAAAATATGTCATATTTATCATAATGTAGAACGAATTGTCATTTTGTTATTCAATAATGTATTTATTAATTTTTTTAAATATTTTCTTTTATCATTAATTGATTTAATAATTGTCAAATTAATTAAATTGATTAAACCGCAACCAGTAATCTTACTAGTTTAATTCTTTTAAAACATTGTTTTAATTAAAATAAAATACCTAATCTTCAACAAGATGTCATTGCCAAGTTAGACAACGAGGACTAGTAGGAAAAATCTCATATGAGGACTGCCACATAAATTGTTTTGTTTCATATATAAAAAAAAAAAATATTTTTACTAGTTCTTTAAGGCTTTTTTGGATTTTTATTTTTTTACCTTTTTATTTCTTTTTCAATATTCAAATAAGGTATCTTACACAGAAAAAAGGGTCAAAATTATTTTTTTTTATATTTTTACACTCGAATATAAATTTTTTTTATAGCAACCAAATAAAATAAAGAATCAATTTTTTAAAATTAAATATCATAATAATTACTTTTTTATAATAAAGAAAACAAAAGGCAGACGCTCCTTGAATAAACACCTCTGATCTGAGTCTGACCTCTCATATTTTGAGTTAGAAATTAGTCATTTATTTTCAAAGGCACGGCCTAATGAAGCAATAGGTACATAAATAAGAATCCCTAAACTTTATCTTCCCTTACAAGAGTTATTTTTATTGCATAAAGCAAATTTCACTGTGTCAAATCAAGTCTAATCTTCTTCCTTTTCGTTTTCTTATCAAGTGAAAGAAATCACAAGGAGCTTATTCTAATTAAACATATTTTCATGAATTTATTGTTAATTGACTTGATCTCCGCCACCATAACTAACTAGGCATTACAATTTTACTTATATTTACTAGCAAATTTTACTCGTTCCATGACAGCTACAGATATTGCAAAATGGTGATGGAGATGGATTTGGTGATTTTCATGAAATTTTTTTTTCAATACGGGATTGAACAAGAATTATAATATTCAACCTTGTCCATATGTGTTATAGTATGTTTACATATATATATATATATATTAAAAATTGTATTCAAAAATTAATATATGAAAATATATTTTAAAATATATCTCATATATTATAAAATATGTTAATTTTAAAAAATAAATTATATTAAAACGGATATATAAGTATAGAGACAAGCATGATCCTATTCAACAAAGGTAGGGACACGAATTAAAATTAATACCTGGTCGGGACAAAAAGGCACTGGTATGAACATGGATTTCCTAACTAGGTCTGGGAAAGATAAATTAGGTCTCACGAAGTTCTACTGTGACGGAATTATTATTATTTTCTCAAAAGATATATTTTTTAGGTGTGCAATGCCTTATTTTATAATTCCTTTTTTTTTTTACTTTGTCTAAGATGATATTCGTAATACTTTTTACTACTTCAATTCTTCACATCTTTTAATGAGCAGGGACTTTTTTTTCTCTTAAAATTAATTATCACAAGTAATTTCATTATTATATTGCTAATATATTCTTTTCATAAGTTAAACCTGTAGTATTTTGACACAAAAGGAGGTTGTACTTTGTGTAGAAAAGCAAATTTTTGGGGGTGTAATTTTTGATATATTTCAGAAAAAAGGGAAGTTAATGGTAATTTTGAAATTTTTTCAAGGTACCAAACATTCTCTTTTCTCTAAATTTATTTAAATAATACTTAATTCTATTTTTATCATGAAAAAATACTTTTTTCTTTTAACTAACTATTGACTAATAGTTATTTAACGATTTTATTAAAAAATCGGTAATGATAATCTAATTTTATATACTTTAATTACTCGTACAATTAAAAATTAAAATTTTATTTGATTCACTAAAAAAATTATTTTTAAAATTTCTCATTTTTAACTTTATTAAAAATAAAAATATAATAATTTAATTTTATTTTAAATTTTTAAATAATTTTATTTATTATTTTTAGTTTTATTTTAAATATTAAAATACAAATAGGTTAAGTGTTATTTAAGTTAAAAAGCTGAATATTATTTAAATAAAAAGTTAAGTAAAATTAAAATATCACAAAATAAAATTTTAAAAATTATAAAATAGTAAAATTATATTATCAAGAAATCAAATTTTTATTTTTAAAAAAATTTTTAATTTAAAACTAAATATGAAAAATAAAATTTTTAAGTATATTAAATAATATTTTGATTTTCAATTAGATAACTAACTCACATGAAATTAAGTTATTTTTATTTTTTTTATAAAATCACAAAATAATTGTTAAATAATAATTAATTAAAGAGAAAAAAATTTATAATAAAAATGTGAAGAATTCACATTTGATCACATTTAGAAGGGAGGAAGTATCCTTTATTTATTTATTTATTTTTTAACCTATTGGTGGTGTGGGACCCATTTGTTGTTAATTGAAATTAATGCCTTCATTTCGCATTACTTCTGGCGTTTTCTCCTTCGATTATGGAATCTGGTTCTTCCATCTAACACCAAATTTATATTTGTTAGCATCATGGTGACAGGTACGGGCTACCAAATTCATTTTCTACCAAGGTTGGATAGACTTTTGAGTCATTGGTGTGAGTGACTTTCACGTGCTCATCTTCCTCACCAAATTCAATTAGATGACAGAGTTCGAAACCCATATATATGAGATATATACCCATCTTTGATTATGTGCTTGGATTTGTGGGTATTGTCCGTCTACCTCAGTGTCAACTTAATTCGTCAACAATTTTTAATTTTTAAAATTTTCAAATTTTGTTTTGTGACCCAGGAGAGAAGGCAAAGTAGGCGATGGCGGCGGAGCAACCAGCGGCGGGAAAGAAGACGGCGTGTGTTATTGGCGGCACCGGCTTTGTGGCGGCAACGCTGGTGAAGCTCTTGCTGGAGAGGGGCTATGCCGTCAATACCACGGTGAGAGACCCAGGTGAGTGTCTTCTCCCTTTTGACATTCTACGGCTTCGAGTTCTCTCTTCGACCTTAAACTTTTGTTTCTGAATTTTGCTCAGATGACCCTGCATTTCTTCATATATTGCTGTAAACTTTTTGTACTTTCATATACGCCCCTTAATTCCAATTCAGAGAGGTTATTGACTCGCTGAATTCAGAAGACTTTTTGACTCTGCTTAATTATGAAAATTGCAACTTCCTTATTGGGTGCAGACAATCGCAAGAAGATCTCTCACCTCCTATCCTTACAGAGTCTGGGAAACTTGAAAATCTTTCGAGCAAACCTAACCGACGAGCAGAGCTTTGATGCCCCCATAGCTGGCTGTGACTTCGTCTTTCATGTTGCAACTCCTGTCAACTTTGCTTCTCAAGATCCAGAGGTACTGAATTCATACCTAAATTAAAGAATTAAAGAAGAAAATCTAAATTATTTTATAATTATTTGCTTTCACCAAGCTGATGAAGCATTTCTATTTTTAGAATGACATGATAAAGCCAGCAATCCAAGGTGTAGTTAATGTTCTGAAAGCTTGTGCGAAAGCAGGCACGGTTAAACGTGTCATCGTGACATCGTCAGCAGCTGCTGTAACGATTAATCAGCTGGAGGGGACCGGTCTGGTTATGGACGAGAGTCACTGGACAGACGTTGAGTTCTTAACTTCAGTGAAGCCTCCTACTTGGGTAACTTCCAAAATTAGGATTTTGTCTTTGAAAATGTTTTTCTGATTTTGGAAATAGAATACCCATTTGGCAGGATGTTTTTCAAAAACTGTTCTCAGGAGAATTTTCCCAAAACAAAGCCATTTCTAGAAGTTTCTGTCAAAATTCTCATAAACTAATTTTGCTTAAAAATGAAATAGTAAGAAAGCAGTAGATTTTTGAGAACGAAAAATAGAATTCAGGACACAATCTATTTCTTTGGTTATCATGATTAGACCAGGTCCTTCAATGAAAATAATGATTAAGAAAGGAATATTTATGGCATTTGCAGGGGTACCCTGCATCAAAGACACTAGCTGAGAAGGAAGCTTGGAGATTTGCTGAAGAAAACAACATCGATCTCATCACTGTCATCCCTACTCTCATGGCTGGTCCTTCTATTACCGCAGAAGTTCCAAGTAGTATTCAGCTAGCCATGTCCTTGATCACAGGTAAAAGACCATGACTTGGAGATAGATAAAGGCCCTGTTTGGAGTCTTGTCGCGGGCTTTATGGGATCATGCATTGGCTTTTCAAATGATGCAGGGAATGACTTCCTCATAAATGGCTTGAAGGGGATGCAGACGCTTTCAGGTTCTATCTCCATCACCCATGTGGAAGATGTTTGCCGTGCCCAGATTTTTGTGGCTGAGAAGGAATCAGCCTCTGGGCGATACCTCTGCTGCGCAGTGAATACCAGTGTTCCCGAGCTGGCTAAGTTCCTCAACAAGAGATACCCAGATTACAATGTCCCTACCGAGTAAGATCCCCTCCTTATAAAATAAGACCAACAAGCCCATGTTGGCTTTTTGGTGATGAAGTTCTCAAAAAATTTGAAGCTATCCAACTAGCTTAAAATCTAAGAGCCAGTAAACTAACAACGCAAATCCATTTCATTAGTGAAATGGAAACAATCATGGGTGGGCTTTTATGGTAATATTCGTTTCTGACAGAGTAAATATAACAATTTTAGCAGATATGTGATAGAAATTCTCAAATTTTAAGCTAGTGATCTAACATCATTTCAAGAGTGAAATTGAAATCGAAAATAGAATAGAGAGAAGTCATTCGGACTCATGTTTCACCTCAAAAATGTTTTCCAAAACGCATTTTCTACGAATTCCTGAAATTTCAAGTCGAAGTGCAGAAAATTTTCAGCCCATCGCAGAGAATTTTGGGAGACTGTGACTTGTTGTAGAAAATGAGATAGAAAATGGCCCTTATACATTGGACAGGCAGTGAAAAGTTTTCGAAAACGGACTCAAGGATCACCCAATTTAAGTTTGAAATGAGGGAGATATGCTTAATCGAATTTCTTTGGAAGAATCTAAAATTTGTAAACTAACTAGCCATGTTAAAAAATTTGCAGTTTTGGGGATTTTCCAGCCAAGGCCAAGTTGATCATCTCATCAGATAAATTAATCAAGGAAGGATTCAGTTTCAAGTATGGGATTGAAGAGATCTATGACCAGTCTGTGGCCTATTTCAAGGAGAAGGGGCTTTTGCAGAAGTGAGACTCCATGGCAAGTACTTAGTCAAATTACTAGTTGAAAAGCGGTGCTGCTTGGCTGGCAAGGCTTTTGCTTGGTTTTATGGATGCTCGATGTTAAAATATCTCTGTTCCCAGTTTCCAAAATAGGCCTTTCGTGGTCCTGTTCAGTCGTTCAGCATCCTAAGCAATGATTCTAGGGCTTTTAACAGGGACCCTCGGTAAAGTCCTTGTGTTGTACCCTTTAATTATCGGAAAATAAACGAGTTTGGATAAAAAAATAAACTTGATGGGAAATTTAGTTTGGAAACTTTTTATTATAAAAAAAGTCAGAATTTTTTTTTGGTGCCATTATTAAAAAAAGAAACCCGAAACCAATAAACTTTTAATACCAAAAAATGAAGCCCAAATTATTTTGGTGTGTAAAAATTAAATCACGGAAAAACCCACAATCTAAGGCATAAATGAGGGAGGGAGGACCTAAATTATCAGAATACCTATTTTAATAGAAATTGTATGAATGATAAATGCTTCATCAATTCTCTTGAAATTTTCAATATATCAACAAATATATGTGTAAATTAAATTTTGATTACAAAATCTAAGCAGGATAAATAAAAAATTCAACCTCTTTTTCTCCATGACTGACAAATGTAAAGAAAGACTTAGGATTAAAGTGCAGTGTGTGAAAGTGTCATTAGCTTTTTTTATTTATTTTCCCAATTTTCTTTTTAAATGGGAATTTTTTATTTGAAAATAAGTTATTTTTGCAAAGCTTTTCTTTGATTTTTTTTGAACTTTTCGAGAAACTTGTAATACCCCTAATTTAGGGTATTTATGAAATTCTATAAACTATGGGCTAAATCGAACAAATCAGAAACTTCAGGGATTAAATAAAAAAGAATCAAAATTAGGGGAATCAAGTCAAAACAAATCTGAAACTTCAGGGACTAAATCAGGATGAATCTGGAAACCTGAGGACTAAATTTCAAGAAATCCGAATTTATCCAGAGACGGATCCGTCGGATTACACGATTAGGAAACCAGAAATTCAAGCAATCCATCTAGGATTTTGCTCAAAATTTGTATAAAAGTTGAGACGAGGGCAGTGGTAAAGTACAATTCCTCGAACAATTTTACAAATTAGTAGGAAATTGAGAGGGATTTTCAAAAAAAATAGTCCGGTTGAGGACTATGCTCGGGAGATCTGATTTTATCAAAATAATCTCTTGAAGAAGGCCGATTCTTCCAAGTGATGGTCCAGCTGTAGTCGCCTGCTTGTTCCGATCAGCATAGCAACATTCGATTCTCGAAAATTTTTCAATTGTTCCGGTGAGTTTCAAATCTTCTCTGGTTAAGATGTTCGGGTATGGAAGAAACAGACTCGGAATGGTCTGGGTCTGGGTTGGGTTTCCAGTAGGGTTTGGTAGAATCAGGGCCTTCAGTCCGGATATATAAATGTATATAATTTTGGGCTAAGGCCCAAAAGGGGATGGCTTGGTTCTATGGGCACGAGTGTGATCTGCAGCCCAAAACTAGGGAGCCCGGGAAGGAAAAATAATAATAATAATAATAAAATAGTAGCAGTAAATGGAAAACAGGCCGGTTCACCTAGGAATCGACCGGTTTTCCACCGGTTCAAGAATAAATAAATTAAATAATTTAATTATCTATCTAGAAAAACTCCGGTTCGATGAAAAATATTACTGTTTAGCCCCGGTTCAAGCTATTTTAAGGTAAAATATATAGAAAACCGGCCGGTTCAGTAGAAAATAGGCCGGTTCACTTGGTTTTTGACCGGTTCATTCCCAGTTCACTGCATGACAGTATAAATAATTAATTAATTTAATTATTTAAAACTTGGTTTAGCAAAAATAATTGAGTTTTAAGGCCGGTTCAAGGCATAAATGCATTAAATCGCCCAGTTCAATACTCTAAGGACCGGTTCAGTGCTCCTTTGGACCGATTCAATGCTTTTTAAACTGGTTCCAAGTAGGATCAACATTTTGGAAATAAAAATAAGGCAGGTTTAATGGTTTAAAGACCGGTTCATGGCCGATTTAGCCTCCGAACGACTAGTTCATAGCCGGTTCATTCCTTAATGATCGGTTCACTTCATCTAATGATTTTTGGAAGTTTGAACAGACTGGTTTTGATATCTTAAGGAAGGGTTTATGACGTTGATACTTAGTATTTGACGAGTCGGGACTTAACTAATTATAAAAAGGGACTCGCGCACGAAAACCTAGAAATAAGGCTTACTTTTGCATTTAAATTTTTATTATCAGAAATATAAATTAGTTATACAATTATTTCCTGATTCTAGATCGATCGCCCGATTCTGGTTAAGCTGTGTCATCTGGTGTTGGATTTCCCGGTTTCGTCATTCGGTGAGTAGTAACGTGTATTTATGAGCTGTTCTGCTTTCCATATTTAATTTAAATCTGTTTTTATTTATTAACTAATCTTCTGCAAATCTGATTAAATTTTTGTTAAATTATATGACAAGGGACATGCATGTAATTTCTAAATTTGTTTTGGAAACTTATCTGTTATTTATATCTGACTCAGTTTTATATCAGTACATAGAATTATTCAGTTAACTGTTCTGTTAAATCTGGAAAACATTATTTTGCGGGAGTTTCGAATTTTTTGAACACTGCAGCTGACGGCAGTATACGTTAGCATGATTTGCACCTTGTACGGGTCCCTATTTAGCAGGGGTGATGGTGCTAGACATTTCATGGCATATGTTACCATTTCAGTTTCAAGGCATATGTTGCCATTTCAGTTTCAGGGCATATGTTGCCATTCAGTTTTCAGGGCATGTGTTGCCATTCAGTTTTCAGGGCATATGTTGCCATGTTATTACCCGGGCATTATTGCCATTCCCAGCTAACTATGTGTCACTGCTTTGATTATCAGCTGATTGTGTGTTGCTGTCTTGGTTATCGGTTGACTGTGTGTCGCCGATCTATTTCTCGATATATGTTACGTTCAGAATTATGAACTCCTTAAATGATGGAAAGTGTTTGGAAAATAAATATGTTTTAGTAAAAATTACCTGTTATAATTGTATGCATGTCCTTTGATCTTGTAAATGCAGATTATTATTCACTGGGTCGATAGACTCACCCTTATTTTTTTTTTCAGATTCTGAGTACGCTGATCCAGTGGATCCTACTTGCTAAGAGGAGTCCGTGGCATCAGCTGTTCTGTTTAGATTTTTCTGTTCAGAGTTAGTTATTCAGTTTTATCAGACTTTGTATTCCTGGGATTCTAGTATGCTCCATTTGACTACAGACAGGATTTTGTTTTGTGTTTGATATTTCAGTTAGCGTGGTTGGGATTTTATTCGAGTTATATCAGACTTTATGTTTTTCAGTTAAATTCAGTATTTTTGTCAGGCTTGCATGAATTGTGATTTATTATAACTCTTGCGCCGGTCACATATCCGATTTTGGGTGTGACAAAACTAATGCCTTATTATAAAAAGAATTTTATTGGCTTCATAATTAACAAAGGATCTTCTTTTAGTTGAGGGAGTTTCTATAATGAAAGAGCTTAATTGTCTTAAAAATAATACATTTTACATTTTTCAAAAAAAAAATAGTGCATTTACAAAAGACATTAGGAGGTTGGGGGATGGCCCCTACCAGCCCATCCCTCTCCCCTCGTGTCCATCATCTTGATGAACCTAGCTTATGGGAAATTCATAAGAAACACTTAAACTTAATTGAAGCTATATATGGAGTAATAACAATAAACAGGTTAATTTAGCTTATTAAAACTCTTAAAATTCAATTAGCTCACAATAACAAGCGATAATAACAAACACAGTAGTACGGAGAGCCTTTGTAGCGGTGGATTAAAAAAAAAAGTAGGTATAATATTTTTTTTATCACATGCACATAAATTTTAATAACAAATAGTACTTCACTTTTCAAAAAATTTAAATTTTATTACTATATTTCTTATAAATATATAAAAGAGATTTTTCTTTTACAAATATTAAATTCATAACATTTGCCCTTATTAAATATTTCAGTGAAATATTTATTAAAAATTTTATTTTTAAAGGGTATAAATATATTTTCAAGTACAAATGCTGTCCAATCTTTTCTCATTTTAATTATCTACAGTCATCATTTATACTAACTAATCTTTTCTCGTTTCTTCCCTCATTTTAATCATCTACAGTCATCATTTATGCTGACTAATCTTTTCTCGTTTTCACCATCTATAATAATCATTTATACTCTTTAAAAGTTAAATTTTTAAGAAATATTTCACTGAAACATTTAATAAGAGGAGCAAATGTTATAAATTTAATATTTGTAATAGGAAGATCTTTTATTATGTATTTGTAGAGAATATAGTGTTAAAATTTAAATTTTTTGGTGGTGAATTACTATTTGTTCTAAATTTTATTTGTATAAATTTTTTGAAACCCTTTTATTTTTGTAATGCATTTCTGTTACAAAAGGCACTTTTGGAATTCTGTACAGAAGTCCAAATGTTTCAAAATTTATAAGCATAATATCCCCTCTTGGAGTTATAATAAATGATAATATTACTTATTATTCATAGGAATAATAAACTGATAATCCTGCTTTTTTTTTTGGGGGGGGGGGGTTGGGGTTGTGCCCAGAAGTAGATCTTTTGAGGGTTTAGGTAGGGGAGCCCATGTCACTATGGGCCCAAGCCAAGGTTATGGTAGCCCATGTTACTATGGGCCGCGGCCCAAGGTTTTGTTTCTGGGGCGGGGGCCTCGCATTGGGATGCTTGGCCGTGTGCGTCGCTTATAGCATTTCTGGCAATACCAACTTCTTGGAAGTGAGTATTGCAACAATACTACTCTAATCATAATGAAAATAAAGCAAAAAACTAAGATGCCAAGTAGGACAGGTTCAACCCAAGCAATCCAAGTCTTAATTCAAAAATTTTAGAACTTGGACAATCATAATAATAATAAAACATCTATTCCGGTCTGACAATCCTAATTTATCAATTGACCCAACTGTA